ATTGCTTTTATGATAACTTTAGAAACAGAGAAAGAAACAAAACTATATTTGACATTGTCTGCCTGGCAATTATAGTTTAAGAAAGATACGAAGACGTACATTTTTGTCATTGTCTGCCTGACAATAATAGTTAAAGAAAGATAGAAATACATACTATACTTGACATTGCCTGCCTGACAATTATGGTAAAAGAAAGATAGAAATACATACTTTACTTGACATTGTCTGCCTGACAATTATAGTTAAAGAAAGATAGAAATACATACTTTACTTGACATTGTCTGCCTGACAATTATGGTTAAAGAAAGATAGAAATACATACTTTACTTGACATTGTCTGCCTAACAATTATGGTTAAAGAAAGATTGAAATACATACTTTACTTGACATTGTCTGCATGACAATTATGGTTAAAGAAAGATACGAAGACGTATTGTTTTTACACTGATACAAATACATACTTTACTTTACACTGTCTGCTTAACAATTATGGTTAAAGAAAGATACAAATACACACTTTACTTGACACTGCCTGCTTGATATTTCAAAATTAGAAGAAGATACGTAGACATATTTATCTGGGTGAAGGAAAGTACAGCAATTCCACATAAAGTTAAATTAATGTATTGTCCAACATGCCACAAAATTCATGGAACCCCTGAAGCTAGTCAACACCATAATACACCTCCATCACTGGGGGCAACACGATCATAATCCAAAAGTGTTTTCTAGATTGTTGAAGATCTCAAACTTCTGCCTGGTATATCAAGATTAGAAATAATAACGGTCAATGAACTTAACATATGGACTCTTGTCATGAAATACGTTTTGATATCAAATTCTGTATTGTAAACGGAACAAATACCGATATATTACCCAAGTTATTATAATAGTTTAGTAGTAAGTATAAATAATGAAATAACAAAACAATATCGTGGGTGTCCTCTAAAATCACCCTTAAACGAACTGTAACTAGGAGCTTGGTTTTGTACAATATATTAAATTACTACATCGGTCCGTTTACTTAGATTGCTTCTCCGAGACAATATTTGGATTTCACATTTTGAAATAAGTTTAAAAGCATACACATGTCGTAAATTGCTTCTTTTTTTGCGTTAATAACTGTGACACAAACATGTGTCTTGATCAGTGTTTCTGAACCACCGGTCTGTAGGATTTAACGAAAACAAACAAACAAAAACTGACAGAATATCCATGTGTAAATCGTAATGGTTTCTCATTGTACCTGCTTTTTTTCTGTGGTCCGCGACAGCTTAGGGAGGGCTGCGAGCCAGTCCTTGATATGGAAAAGGTGGAGAAACGCTGTACTAGAGAATACGCCAAATCTCACAACTGGGTAAATACTCGTCAAATTATTTACTTAAAAAAATACCAAGAATAGGTTAGAGTTCCATCTTGTTTTAAAATCATAATATTATATCCTTATCACTGAAAAACTATATTCATATCCCACTTTTGCATTATCTTTGTATAGCACTTGTTTAACAATTTTATAAAAATTACCTTTACATAACCTACTTTTTAAACATTATTGTGTACGATCAGTTTAACACTTTACACAACCTACTTTTTAAACATTATTGTACATGACAAGTTTAACAGTTTTACATAACCCGCTTTTCTTAGTATTCTTGTTAACAATTTTACATAAATTACCTTTGTTCTATGTTCTCGTGCACAATCAGACTAACAGTTTTACATAACCTACATTGCTTCATACTCTTGTGCATAATTAGGTTAAGAATTTTATGTAAATTACTTTTACATACCCACCTAGTGGTTAGCGTTTTAAAACTATGATTCCGAGGATTTATGGTTCGCGTCTCGCTGCAGAAAAATGTTGCCCCGGACTCTAACAATATAGTTGCGTTATAAGAGTGACGGTCAAATTGTGCTATTCGGTCAGATAAGAGTACCCCGAACGTTTGCGGTGGGTGCTACTGACTAGCTGCCTTCCCTTGAGTATATCGATTAAAATCTGTGCGAGAATTCTGGAGCAAACAAGCAGGTTATTTTCCAACCATTATGAAGAGTATTGTGTTTCCAGATGTTTACTGTTGTATCAAAACCGATCAGCAGAGAAGACAGATAGAGAGAAATTATTTTTTTCCAATAACCTAAGTTATATAATAGGATTCTATTAAGAAAGTATGCGTCCAGGTAAAATTTCTTGTATTTTTCTATATCTTTTGTACAATACAATCCATCGTGAAACTGTGTGGAACATTCTCATAACAACAACAACAACAAATTGTGTCACTATAAAAGAAATAGAATGAGGGTTCTTCTATTACAATCCATTTTCTTATTAATTAACTGTTGTTTTTGAATACGCCTGCAGTAACTTTCTGTTATGATTTTATCGTTGGAGAACAAAGTATTTGTCAACACGTCCCGTTCTTTCTGCCCTAACAACTTAATCTTTCATGCATATTTACATTACAGCTAAATGTGTATGAGCGACTTGTAAACTTTTACTGGAGGACTTTTCCATTAGTGTTGAGTAAATAGTAAGGCTAATATTTAATGTAAAATTGCGATAATAACAATTGATCAATCGTAATTTGTCGTCTAACATCTCAAATAAACTGTAGAGATGAAAGCTACGTAAACACCAACACGAATAAGCTTTATTACTCGACGTCAGATAATTTCATTAACAAGTGGTCCAAGCTTAGTGGAAGTTTTAAGGCTTAATAACACCAGTAGAGATCACTTTCTAGCTGTTACATGATTATTTATGTTACTTTAAAAGTTGACTTATTTCCATACCAGTGGTTAAATTAAAACACCCGATAGACTACCGTTTACAATGATACCTGAAGCAAACTAGATAGATATAGTTAATGGCAAGTGTTTACAGTGGCTCAGTCGAAGGTACAGTTAAAAATAAACATGAAGTTCAATCTATCATTCGATTCACAACTTGTCATTGAGTCATAACGGGTCACTGTAATTAGTAAAACATAATACAAAACACCATATAAAAGAACAATTATAATTTTTCCCAACAATAGTAGATTTTCAGTTAATCTACAATAACGTTATACTTAAATACGTTTAATAGGGAATTAATTAATAGATGAAACTAATCTTAAGAAAATAAAAATAGAGACATAACTGAAGAAAATATAATTATTATTTACTATTCAAAAAATCATCTACTTTTGAATATGGTTTATTAATTAGTTGTGTTTTGAAATGAAAATTGTAGGCTACTGTCTTACAATCATGAAAATAACCCTCTCAAGAAGGAATCTTGTGGACGTTTGAAATTCATTTTATTACGTAGGAAGAGCTGTAATTATTCACGATTTCGCGAACGTGAGTTAAGCCTAGCAAAAGTTTATAATACGAAAATCTACAAAACATGCTTGTGATACTGTAATAATTTGTAGTAATTCGAGAAACAGGTTCATATCCTAGAGTGTGTTTTTTATAAATATTTTGGTAATCAATATGTTCAATACCTTTATTGTATATATATATTTTTAAAGTTTTGAGTTCTTATATAAATTGTATTTCAGCATTTGTATACCTCCAAACCTCATCAACGGTGTTAAACAAAGTTTTTATTGGATCATTAAGTAATGCAATCATAAATCAAAGAATAATAATTATTGGAACTAAAAATAAGATTATTCGCTGATCTACAATCAGTTGCTCCATATGTAGGATGTGCTTCATATAATGCTTCTAATTAATAATGGAACATTGGTTTTTCCAATTGAGTTTGTTTTTATTTCATCGTACGAATCATAATAACTGATCTGATCATGAATCAATAATGGCCAACTTTGTCGCAAATATGCAAGATCACATTTCTAACAATACTAGGAAAGTTAAAACCAAAACTTTGTTAATTGATTCCATTCATGTTTGACGTTAACAAATACATCTATTGTCCAACTACAAATAATACTAAATACAATTACGTTGGAGCTGATCATATTCACGTAGTCATTATTGCAATAAACATATATATATAACTTCTAAAGACACTGACGTAATGTTGAACAGCTGGACCTGTTTACGTGTTCACTATCACTACGAACATATCTATAAAACTTCTACAATACTAAAGAAACCAATGTTATAGTTTAACAGCTCATCCTTTTAAGTATTCGCTATTACTACGAACAAAGATGACAGAATATGAAATTCTTCGAGAGTTCTTTGAAAGTGCTTATCGATTCTCTTTTACAAATATATTAACAAATCAACCTGAAAAATGAAAACAAACTTTCCAAAAAAGGATTTTCAAAGCTTTAGACCTCAACAGACAGCATTAGCTGATGGATAGATTTGAACTTTTTATACCAAAATCCATTAGACGACGGAGATGGCTAAACTATTAGAGAATTGTTAATATTTCAGAAATACTCATAAGGACTGTCACTCTTGCGATATCTCTAACTTTAAAGTGGCAGTTACTTCAGTTAGACGCTTTTTTTTGTTATAGAACACTAAAAGGTGCTTCTTGCTTTAAGATGTTATTGCTAGTATAAAATACATTTTCTTAAATATAATAAGCAAAACATATTTTTGTGTAATTATGAAGTGAAAATGATAATCTGTAACTAACTTTTAAAACTTATGAATTTATTAATATAATAAGTTATAGACATTATTTCTTATTAATCAAGTATTTTGTTGTACACAGCTAATCGTTTGATTAGTATTTTAATAAATACACATAATGACCATTATCTTTCGCCACTCTCATGTTTATCTACATTTATAATATATTTGTGTAGCCAACACAACCATTAATTGGTAGATAAGCCCATTTAGTTTTTCTTTTTGAAATTCAAGAATAAGCCAATCATAGGAAAGCAATTCTCGATTATTGCATAGAGGGCAAGACTCCTAACCAATTGGAGAAGACGAGTGACGTCACATATCAAGTTTGTTATTCCGCCTTGATCATGTTAGCTTATTTCTGCCTGTATAAAAAGAATAATAACGAGTAAATAGGTAGAAAGCTCTTCTAGCTAGCAGAGAATAGCTTGAGAAACTGGGTTTGAAGAAAGAGCGCACTCATCTTGGAGTTATTATTCTTTGTTTGTTGATCGGTGAGTCATATTTTCCAGTTTTTAACGGCTGAAGACTAAGAGCTTATCATTAAAACGTGAGAGAATTAATGTTCTAGTAATAAATAAATTCAAAAACAAAAGTTACAGAAAGATCAAATTCAACTTACAATTATAATTGAATTGGTCAATTATCTTTGCAAATATATGCATGCATGTTTCATATTTTGATATGCATACATATGCGTGCGTGTGTGTGTGTATACATACGTATTTGTGTGTATAACATATATTTTACTCATTGGTGCACTAAAAACAGTATTCAAGAACTTATCACTATATATTGTGTAGAATGTCTTAAGTTCCTCTTTAAGTTTAATATGAAGAGATATATTTATTAACGAACCTCGAGTTGCGTTTAGAACATACAGTTGACACCGATAAACTGATTTTACTTACAAAAATCATTAATCAACTGTTCGATAATGAATAACATTTTAAAAACTAAACCTTATGGATATAATAAATGATGAATGAAAAAATAACAATTAAGATGTGTATAGTTAAAAAAACAAAACAAAGTTGCTGTTTTGGAAATGTATTCGTGTTGAGACTTTGACACATCAGAATAATTTTGCTTATTATTTTATACATATGTATGGATTTTAAGTCTTACACAGACCAGTTTCATGGTGATTGTCATGAACAATAGGACTGATTGTTCTCTAATATTTTGTAAATTAAAGTATAAAATGATGCATAGGTATATCTAATTATTATCAAATAACATTCACCAGTAGTAATAGATGATCAAAGACGTAAAAACCATTTCTTCTTGCCTATTTAACGCCAAATGTGTAAATTTGTAGTAACGTGGTAGAAAAACTTAAAGAGTTTATATTTAGGAATTTGAAGCTCGCCATTCATTGACTCATTACTATGCATCTCAGCTTAGTATTTCAAACATAGCTTTAACATTCTATGATGCGTAACTCAAGTGTTGTGTTACGTTATGGTGTATTATCTTCTATTTTTCAAACCCTCCACCAGGATAAATTAGTACTTTTTTTTACCTAGGTTAAAATTTTATAATATTCAAATATAAGTACATATTGAGTGTATTCTGTCTTGCCTGTTTTGTCCTAAAACTACATTATATAATTATATCATACATATTGTAATCTACATAGCTTTGCTAAGTTTAACGCATGACAGGTTTTTATTTCGTTAGATCACCTTCAAGACTTCGAACGTTTTCATTTGTAGGAGAATAACAGTTAACTCCGAACAACGTAGGCACTTCAAAACAGCAATGAGAAGAGAAACTAAAACCGGAATTTTTCTGAGCATTGTCTTATGTTTCTTTGTGGCAATATCAGCTGAAGAAGATCTTAGAAAGTAAGAGTTTACAACAACTTACAAATTGTTAACTATTAATTTTTATTAACCGATACTCTTCATAAATCTGTTTATCAACAATCAATGTTTGTTAACTAAAATGTTTTACTATTACTAATACAATTAATGTTTGTTAACTAAAATGTTTTACTATTACTAATACAATTAATGTTTGTTAACTAAAATGTTTTACTATTACTAATACAATTAATGTTTGTTAACTAAAATGTTTTACTATTACTAATACAATTAATGTTTGTTAACTAAAATGTTTTTACTATTACCATTTGTTAGCAACAATGTTTGTTAACTTAAATGTTTTACTATTACCATTTGTTAGCAACAATGTTTGTTAACTTAAATGTTTTACTATTACCATTTGTTAGCAACAATGTTTGTTAACTTAAATGTTTTACTATTACCATTTGTTAACAACAATGTTTATTAACTATTACTGTTTGTTAATTACAATGTTTGTATACTATTACTGTTTGTTAATTACAATGTTTGTATACTATTACTGATTTTAGCTATAATGTTAAAAATTATTACTGTTTTTAGCTATAATGGTAAAAACTATTATTGTTATGTTAACTATACTGTTAAACATTATTGCTGTTTAACATTATAGTTAACAAACAGTAATAATTTTCAACATTATAGTTAACAAACAGTAATAGTTTTTAACATTATAGGTAATGGTAAACAAACATTGTAATTAGCAAAGAGTAATAGTTTATAATCATTATAGTTAAGAAAAAGAAACAGTTTTTACCATTATCAATAGAAACGGTAAAGTTAATAAACATTATAGTTTTTAACATTATAGCCAAAAATAAGAATAGTAAACAAACATTGTAATTAACAAATAGTAATAGTTAATAAGGGTTATAGTTAACAGACAGTGATAGTTTTTACCATTATAGCTAGAAACAGTAATAGTCAATAAGCATTATAGTTAACATTATATATTACTTTTTTAGCTATAATGTTTATAAACTATTACTGTTTGTTAACTATAATGTTTATTAACTATAACGTTTATCAACTGTTACTGTTTGTTAACTATAACGTTTATTAGCTATTATTGTTTGTTAACTATAATGTTTACTAACTATTATTGTTTTTAGTTATAATGGTAAAAACTATCACTACTTGTTAACTATAATGTTTTTTAACTATTATATTAACTATACTTTGTTCGTTTACTCTTTATGAATATATTAAAATTATTGTTACATTGTAAATACGCAGCTGTTGATCCTTATAAGTTCATTACTAAAGACAATAATTGTATTCAGTGCAGTATTTGCTATAACATTATATAATACGGTCCTTAACGAAATATGTTAAAGTGTGATACAAAGTTAGCTGTAGTATAAACTATCGGAAATGTTCTCTAGTTATTCTATAATATTAAAATGAATGTAAACTACTCAGTCTTAATTGTTTATTATATGTTTAACTCACGAAAGAGTTATACATCAATGCTTTATATTTTATTGGAGTATGAAGCATTAAAAGTTATGATAGAATTGTAGTCCTAATTACCATTCAAGACTAGATCAAACAGTGCTATGATACCTAATAACACCTAAACGATTGTTTAAATTCCCCTTTTGGTCTCTTTAATTATGATGAAAAGCTATTATGCAAAACCTTGCAATTTGTTGGACTATTAAGAGGTGTGCTTAATAATGTAGACTTATCTAATGAAGTTATTTAAATGTCTTGTCAGTGGGTTGTATTAGAGGATTCAAAATTATTTATACATTTATGTGTCGTATTATGTGACCTAATTGAATTTACCAAGTATTTTAAGTTAGGCTAAGATGTGTGGAAGGATCTCATTAAGACTAATTTCTGAGATTAAAAAATAATAATAAAGATGTGGGGCGCTTTTAGCCGAAAAAACGTCTACTTAATTGTTTTTTATTTGTAGTTAAGCACAAAGATACAGAGTGGGCTAACTGTGCTGTGCCCACCAAGGGTATCGAAACCCAGTTCTTAGCGTTATAAGCCATCAGACTTAATTGTAAAATTATGTTTATACATATATATATATATTCAACTGAAAACACGTTGATAATTAAACTCTGCGGCATGTCTAATACTGTCTTCATGAGCAAAGACTATTCGTTGAACGTCACATTAAACATTGGTCAATGTCAAGGGTTCCATAAATAATGATGGTTTGTATAAATACTATCGAAGGTAGACGATGAGTTCAAACGAGAAGATTGCAACGTATTTAGTCATGATGGGTTCAGTAGTTTTTGGTTGGTTTTTCTTGCTAAGAAAGTAGTTTTTTTTTTAATAAGTATTCCAAATACTAAAATTACTTGAATAATGTTGGAAGTTAATATGAGCTAAGTCTGCGACTTGAGTGAAATATCGGATCGATGACGAAGCGCTCAGGATCGGTCGATATCGGGATCGGATTTTGACAGTCTGCATCTGTGTTTTCCGCATGTCCGGACGTCCCTAATGTTATGTTCCCAATATGTATATACTAGTGGCGTGCGTCAAGCTTCAAACTCGTCTTCAAATAAATCACGCACTTATCAGACCACACACACACAAATTGGAATGTTGGCCTAAGGACTTTAAGTTGACTGCAAAATGTTGTATATAGTGTCCACTTAGTATTTCTTCATCGATGTAAACCCTATAGCAAACCTCCCTGTAACTAAAACAGGAAGGGGGGAAGTTGAACCTAGTAATAGTTATGAATACCAGAAATAAAGGCACTTTTCGAGTGATGCTAAGATATTTTATGACAAATAAAACTATGTTACAAATACATTTACCTTTGTAAGACAAATTAAGAAGCAGTTAGTATGTATATCAGGACATGACCTGGACTGACGGTCACCAATATTTCTTTACGCTTCTCCGTGATTGACCTCATATCGGGATGCACTGTGTTCTGTCCATCGCGAAGGCGCCTGAATGTATTGCGTATTTTCACAGGTAAGCAGACTTACCGATCCGATGTAAAAACATCGGGGAATTTTTCAGATCGGATCGGTATCAGCGGCCAATACAAAGATCGGTCGCAAGCTTAATCTCAGCTCCTAATATTCACCGACAAGTAGCTATGTTGGTTTATATATCACGAAGTTCGGTGATGCGAAGCATTAAAATTAACCCACGTGTAAGAAACTTAGACTTACATTAGAATTATCCATATCATAAAGTACCTAGCGCCAAGATGTAAATTAATCACTGAGATTTAGATTAAATAACTATTTAAGGTATTTTCAATTATGATGAAATACAATAACAACATGATTTGTAAAGAAATCTAATCAAACAAGATAATACTTATAGTGTGTTTTACACATCAACGCCTGTTGCCAGTTCTTTTCGTCTGTAATGTAATTACACTCTAGGAAGTTCAGACAACTCAAAGTAATTCAATAAACCAAGAACCAAACAAATGTAATAAATATATAAGCTTATATGTGTCATGAAATTGCTCAGGAAATTTGAATGTTGGTTAGTTAGCATCTGAATAACTGAATTTAACCACTTTAAATAACATCAAATCAGATGAATCATAAATATTAGCATAGATAGATTTAACCACTTTAAATAGCATCAGATCAGATGGGTCATGAATACTAGCATAGATAGATTTAACCACTTTAAATAGCATCAGATCAGATGGATCATAAATAATAGCATAGATAGATTTAACCACTTTAAATAACATCAAATCAGATGTCATAAATACTAGCATAGATAGTCGTTCATTATTTTGATAAACAATATTCTTTTAATACAACAAACGTCGACTTTGTTCTAGTTCCATATAATTACACAAAGCAGATCAGCATATTTTCTATGTTTCTATTAGTCAGGGCATCTTTAACGTACTACCATTTTTTAAAGAACGTTTATGTCACACTAGCCTTGCCTGTGTATATATTTGCAAGCATAATTAGCCCCCAATAGCTTAGCAGTAGGTCTGCGGACTTATAATGCTAGAAAACGAGTTTCGATACCCGTTGTGGGCACAGCATAGATAGCTTTGTGCTTAACAACAAGCAAAGCAAGTATGATTAGCCAAAGGTTCTAGAATTTCGCTATATATTGCAAAGATACTGATTTTTGAGGAAGAGGTAAATACGCATTTTCATTATGTATGATGGTATAGAGATATTTAAATAGTACTACTTTCTTAAAAATAGCATAACATTTTGAGTGCAATTATCTCTTTTGTGCAATTACTCTTTTCTGACGATATTAAAAGAAACCATGATTTCTCCTTTAGATTTTTAGAAGAAATAACCGAGAAGAGGAAAACACTCTCCTACATAAAAAGTTTGATTAATAAACTGGACAACAACTTCGTGATGCTTAAGTAAGTATATCATTTAGAGTTAAACTTTAAAAAAATCTAAAATAAAAATAAGCTCAATGGAAGTTGGAGAAGGCAAAGTACTACTGAACGACAGCATTGGTTGGCTACAGAATTAACATAATAGTTATAAAAAAACTATCTGACGCATGCTGGATCGAACAGCTGTATCTTTAGGGAGTTAAGATATATGAGGATATATGATATATGAGAGTATGTATATCTTTACCATTTTTAAACCGGATGGCCCAAAATCTATTATTATAAGCTTCCAATGCCAACAACCATGTCATCTAGCACAGTTATATTTATTAAGCCAATTAAAAAATATATATACGATTATCGAGAAATAATTGAAATAAACACATGACGTAACCATGGTAACTAGAAGAATGGATATTCCTGATGATTTTTTGGGGGCCAGTCTTTAGAATAGTTATGCATTTTTTTTATAAATGTTTGTATTTCGTTGTTATTATTACATAATTCGCTATTCCACAAACCACAAGCAAAACGTTGTGTTTCATAAAGTCTTCTAAAGTGTATAGTGTAGTCAACTCAAACAACCGTTTCTCGTTTAAACATTTAAACATGTGTGAGAAACACAATGGCTCGAATGGGGGAGCCACTGACACATGAGAACATGGCTGAAAAATCTGGAATCATAACAATCCCGATCAACCATGTTCTTTTCAAGTTTCCCGATGCAGCTTGAATCCATTGTTTTTGGTCAGTTTAAACGTGATGTTGGAAGCTGATGGACAGTACAATGAAGGATCCATGGGAAGTGTGTGAAGATGTATTGTTTAAGATTGTCCTCGCTCTCTTTCGCAGTACTTGTTACAATGGAAGCTAGGGTGTCAAGCAATAGTGCGTATTATCACCTAGTGATTGAGCAAGGGATCTGGAACATGGTTTTCATGAGACTGGGCAAGGGATCTAGAACATAGTTTTCACGAAACTGAGCAAGGGATCTGAAACACAGTTTTCACGAGACTGAGCAAGGGATCTGGAACATGGTTTTCATGAGACTGAGCAAGGGATCTGAAACATAGTTTTCACGAGACTGAGCAAGTGATTTGAAACATAGTTTTCTCGAGACTGGGCAAGCGATCTGAAACATATTTTTCACGAGACTGAGCAAGGGATTTGAAACATATTTTTCATTATACTGCGCAAGGTATCTGAAACATACTTTTCACGAAACTGAGCAAGGAATCTGAAACATAGTGTTCACGAATGATGATTATTTTCAAATGCATGTAAATCGGATGGCTGCACTTGTTTTTTTTAGACAACATTTGACTTTTTGTGTCGCCTCATTACTTACTGATTGGAGAAGATTAAACGCTAACGTCAACGTCACAATAAAAATGAATATATTTCAGTATAACACTGCTAATCAAAACAAAATTCTGTCATTTTAAGAAAAGAATAAACGAAATTACATATTTAATTTTTTATGTACTTTTGGATTAATGACGATACTAGTGTTTGGGAGAAATTAAAGATACTATATAGTTGTAAGTAATTCTAAATAGTTTGTTTGTTTTTCTTAAGCACAAAGCTACACAATGGACTGTCTGTTATCTGTCTACTACAGTTATCAAAGCCTGATTGGTAATGTTATATACCCTCAGACTTGTCACTGAGCCACTGGGAACCATATAAGTTTGTATTTAAGGGTAACTACGTTACAGCCACCTAGTGGCATTTGCTACAAAATAAAATTAGGATTATTTTTCGATTGAATAATCGGTGTGTTATTAAGTATAAATAGCATTTTGATCCAACTAAGTGGTTTGTGTTATTACAGTTAGAATTATGATCGTACTGAATGACATGTGTTTTATTAAGTACAATTAAGAGTTTGATCACTCAAAGTGTAGGGAGTTTTCATGGTGGTAATTTAGATTTTATAGTTTTGCTTATATTTCTAGGTATCTTTTTTTTCTTATAACCATTTATGATAATCAAGTTATTACAGGGAAATGTTCAATTTCATTTTCGTACGAAAATGAAATGAAGAATATGCTCTGTTAATATCAACTTTAACTGTTTTCACGGTATGTTTACAGTAATATTATACATGTTTTCAAGTAATATCAGTAATTTTTGCTTGTATCATTGTGTTAGAATCAACAAAGTTTTTTCTTGGACCGACTAAGGTCTTGGAGAGTTTTATCATTTTATGAGTTTGTACTTTGCTCTTTTTGTGTTTCAAGCTTACATAACTGTATAATGTCACTAACTGGATTTCAACTAGCATTACAGTTTTGGTTCTTTACATGTGGTCTGTATGCTGAAAAAAGTCAAAAGTTTACTAAGTTTAGGCTGTAAGAAAATGAAGATTTTAGACAAATCTGCTTTATCCATCAGAAAACGAACTTGTAAAATGAATGCAGGAATGACCCACGGTTGCGACTACACTGAATTCCTTAAGGCTCAACAAGACCATGAATTCTGGGCCAACAGGTTTTCACCTGGTAGACGTCGAAGGTCCGTGTAAGATTAATTAACATTTAAGGTTAGTAAGGCTGTTATATTAGAAGAAGAAATAAAGAGAAGCCTGACTCAAACACAAAAACTAATCTGGTTTTATTAAACTTTTCTTCTTTACTTATGGATTTTCCTAGATTAAGTAATCTCATTTGACGATCAAAATAGTGTAAAAGTGCTTTTAGTAAAAGAGTTAGATGTAACAACCTAAGTTAGCTAAACAGGAGTTGTGAGGCAAAACGTCTAGAAAGAAAAAAATCGGACACCTGAAGCTAGAGAAATGTTAAGTGTGTGATTATTTTTCTGCTCAGATCAGATTCTTTGGCAAAGCAGTAACTTTGGAAATTCTTCCACATAAAGCACTTCCAAAAATATACTGATACAATTAAGAGAAACAACTTTCGAGTTGGGTGGGGAAAAAATTGAAAAGGTGATGTAGATGGTCTCCAAAATAAGTTCGACATATAGTAACTTTTACGTGGAAATCTCTTCTATGATATTAGTTTGATGTTGCACGCTTCTTTTAATCTGATATTAGTGGCTAAGTGTCTTATTTATTCTCGGATTTCTTGGACAGACGAGTTTTTAGAAAGGTTGGAAAAGAGTAATATACAATTAGGTTTTCTTTTATTCGACTCATTTTTCGGTAAACGTAGCTTAATGATAAAACAAAACACAAACATAATAAAAGGAAGCGTTTATTATTTATTTATTATAAGCCAAACATGACACTGAACTTGAGATAAGAGAAACATTATATATATAAAAGCTCTTCTTCCATCCCCAAATAACACACAGTCTTCACTAGATTTAAACCTATTTTAACTATTTCACTTGTGCCTCAGTTTTCATTTTTCATGTTATATTTGTATATTCGATTTGTTCATTTTTTATGTATATATTTCTGTTGTAATTACAAATATTGTTTGTTTGTTTAATAACCATGTATTACTGATGATGGAACTACAACGATTCCGAAACGTCTAATAAATGTTTCCTGTTATTACGTTTGTGTTTTGTTTTATCGTTAGGTTTTCTTTGTAATTACTGTTTTTATCTTTTGTATACATTTCAAAACTGATGAAAATTCAAAATGTCTAATAATTTATAAATGTTTTCTGCGTTACATACTACTAAAACGAAAAACGACTTTCAAGTTGTCGGAGTTTCAATTATTAATCAATGATGTTTTGAAGAGTGCACAGTTTGATTTTCTCTTTATAAAGAAAATGGCATTTACCTTATCGTCTTACAGCGCTCTAACGAAACTTTTCTGCATAGAATACGTGATTTAAGTTCGTACAATTTAAAGACATTATGAGGCTTCAACTCATATAGATTATACTTCAATTTTGAGATTCTAATTTGATTCTTGAAGTTTACTTGTATTTATATGTTTTCTTACGTTTAATATCAGAAATTTCTAACTAATAGTTAGATATTGCATAATGCTAATCTAAATAGTTAGAAATTTCTGATATTAAACGTAAGAAAACATATAAATACAAGTAAACTTCAAGAATCAAAATAGTTAGATATTGCATAATGCTAATCTGAACCATGCTGGGGATGTATGCTTTGCTTGTGTTATTTATGTGTATGTAAATCACGTATTATTGAATATTCTGAAGAAATTCATCGCTTTATGTTGTTGTTTTTTTTCAGGGAATTTTCTTTCCTTTTGAAGACGAAGAGGATGTGATTTGTATACTTTAAGAGCATCTAATTGCAGTTATATATTTCAAATTACATTTCTTTTTTAGGTTCTTCATTCAAGTATTGCTAAACTTAGGAAAAAAAATAGTTTTTGTGATTTATGTATTTTCGACAATCTGTATGTCAAAACTTGGATTGAAATATATTATCTCAAAATATTTACGTTTTCATAGTTACAAAAGTACTTCAGTAAAATAAACAATTTCATTTTTCCTACTTCACCCAGAAGTCCAAATTTAGTTCCAGCAACCAAACCTGTATGTGTCATCTAAATCTATACTTTATAGATAGGAGTTAGCATTCGTTTATAGCCTGTGCAAGTGACAGTGTTTCGTATGCTAGGAATGAGTAATAATAGTAACGTTAATGTTACAAAATCCAAGAACAAATACATTCACCGAATTGTCACTAGTTGAAAAGATTGATGAAGGATTATTTAGAATAGAGAAAAATGTATTATAGCGTTTTTCATTTAATTTATCTTTATTTTTAAAAGAACTGATTTCTGTTATTAATTGCTAATTTAATGGCTTGACGCACAACTTTTTCTAGTTCAAAACTGACTTAAATATACGCTAAACTCGATACTGACGTTAGTGATATTGTCTTAGCCATCTTTTCGTAATTTTAATTAATTATTAATTTTTATGTTTATTATGCTAATTGCTCTGATAAAAACTTGATTTTTTATTCTTTACCCATCATCTCCCTGAAACAGACTTCTACAACAGAAACTCAGTTAGTCATGAGTAGTGGTTCAATAGCAGCCCGGTGACATCGTACCTGGTAAGGATGAGAAGTTCTATAATTCGCGCCCTATTATCACCAAAATATAATCACGCTTCGCATTTTGGGGCCGTGGTTGTGTTTTAAAAGTGATGATCCAATCCCACTATTCAAATAGAACAACCCACGATTTGATGTTGCTTGTGTTTTAAAAGTGATGATCCAATCCCACTATTCAAATAGAACAACCCACGATTTGATGTTGCGTAAGGGCTTTCGTTCTAGCCTATCACTTCAAAATTAGGTTAGTGCAGATAGCACTCGAGTAGCATTGCACAATAAACAAAACAACTTGGTTTTATATTGTGAGATGAACCTTTATTTAATACAGTATTTAAATTCATGGACGACAGTATTTTGGTTTATTTACATACTTTTAATATATATGATCTAGATGTATTATCATTTTACTTTTCCCATTTCGTTACTTTAATGTCACGATAAGAGGCTGAAACTAACCACCATAGCATTTTACTGTAACCACCTAAGGCTGAAACTAACCACCATAGCATTTTACTGTAACCACCTAAGTTTCTTTCTCAAAAGATGTTGTATAAGGAATATAAAGAATATTAAGTTTCTATTGATTATTTAATAACAATGACGTTACTCCAACGTGTTTGAGTAACACTGTTTGATTTGGAGACACTATTTTGGGCTAGTTGTGTAATAAAATGTTTTGTGGTACTGCAAATTCTCGTTTATTTATTTCTTTTACGAATATATCTCCAAATATGATAAATACAAATATTTACTTCCAAAAGGAATAATTACTGCTAGAAACTAAAGAACAGATGAGTATATATATATATTCAACTCTTAAAGGTGTTCTTTCACTTCATTGCTTTTAATTAATTATAATAGTAATTTAACTCGTGAAAAATACAACAGACATTATTCGTGAAATTCGAAACTAATTTAAAAAGTCAAGACATTAGTAACACAGCTCTAGACTCACGAATAAACTAAGATGTACCTTAAAATATTACTACTTAAGTTAAATCTAATGGGCTGAATTAAGGCCTCTACATCCAGTCTTAATGAAGCAATCTGCTTACGCTTAATTAAAGACTGAATCGATTTGCAAACTAAATGCAATCATTGACAAAAGTTATGATCCATTATACGTAGTTTAATTAATTTGATTATCTTTACTTGGCTGCTCTAGCAACTTGAAAATGAGGATATTTATTTATTAAAAATATGCTTAATTTATTTATGAGCTTATGGTTTATGTTATATAGTGAGTAATATACATTTAATGAATTTTACAGAAAAACATGAACTTTTAAGTAAAACTATAGTATACCTAAAATATGGTTTCATTTTATTAGAGGAATTTTAGAATGATTTTAATATAAAGCTCTGACTGTGAAATAATGGTGCTATTTGAATCCGTATTTAGTTTAACTAATGATACTATTACGATTTTCAAATCACACCACCTGAGGCTCATAGTTCATGAAAACGGTTAAATCATAAAAATATTTATTGAACTGGCATTTAGAACGACATGTAAAAGTGTGGTAAGTTACCTACGTGAAATCCATGCTTATATTTTAATATTTATTTGAGGTACTATGGTTAATATTTGAATACAGTCGTCTGACAAATGGAGCAAGAATAAAGAAACGTCGTTTCGAATGCTGCTAAAATTGTACCAAAATCGATTCACACCACAACTGTCGGTAATGTGAAAATATATACGCAATACATAACATTAAAGTTTGGACTTTTGATATTTTGACCTAAATTCGTGTTCTATTGCACCAAGTTCAAGATTATTTGTGTTCTTTGTCTTTTTCAGGAACATTGACAATTCATTACAAGGCAAAACCTAGTTCACTATATGGTATCTTCATATTTCGTTTTTTTTTTAGTTTCTCGATCAGCTTAAGTTTTTTTTGTAGATGTTCACAGTAACTCTACGTTGAAGATAATAGGGACAGGAGCTTATTATGCTTGACAGTCAACAGAGGTCGCCGTAGACGCCAAACGTTTTAGATGCTCTTTGAAAGTAAAAGAAGAAGGCATTCTGATATAAATATGTTTTCTCTAGAACTAGACATAACTGCAAGACGTTTTCCTGGCCTACAAGAAGACCTAAGCCAGAAATAAGTGTAAAATATATGTTGCAGTTAGTTGTTATTAAAGGTTCATCAAAGAACAAAGAACTTTAATCAAGGTGAGAAACATAATAATAATAAAAAAAAACTATAAGAAATTTTGTAGAAATGAACAAACTCACACCACATTATTTCTCTTCACTAACTCGCATAACATAGTTTATTAATTACAGAACATTATGTTTAAAGTTGGTTACGAAACCAAACACAACCATTCTACAACAGCATTGTGATTAAAGTTGGTTATGAAACCAAATACAACCATTCTACAACAGCATTATGTTTAAAGTTGGTTATGAAACCAAGTACAACCACCCTACAACAGCATTATGTTTAAAGTTGGTTACGAAACCAAGTAAAACCATTCTACAACTGCATTATGATTCAAGTTGGTTACGAAACCAAATACAACCACCCTACAACAGCATTATGATTAAAGTTGGTTACGAAACCATGTACAACCAACCTACAACAGCATTTTGTTTAAAGTTGGTTACGAAATCAAATACAACCATTCTACTCAGCATTATGTTTAAAGTTGGTTACGAAACCATGTACAACCAACCTACAACAGCATTTTCTTTAAAGTTGGTTACGAAATCAAATACAACCATTCTACTCAGCATTATGTTTAAAATTGGTTACGAAACCATGTACAACCACCCTACAACAGTATTATGATTAAAGTTGGTTATGAAACCGATTATAGCCATTCTGCAAATGAAGAGTTTAAGTTTAGACAGCAAAATTATCATATGTTATGAAGTAAATGAAAAACATTTTACAAGATTTTGCTGGAAATTGAAAATTGGCTACTCAAGATGTGTAGTTTTCTACATCGAAAACCTTCGCAATAGCAAAACCTGATGATGCTTTAATGAACAGAAAAGGACCAACATCAATCAACAGTATAAGCTCCATTGGATAGTAAGTAGTAAAATCTTTATGGTGAAAGTCATTAAAATGCACATTTTGAGCTCATTGTGTATGAAAATGGAGGAGAAACTTGCATTACAATGTTTAGATAAAGAACATAACTTCTCAAAAGCTTCTAAAATATAATACTTTGCACTCCAGTTTCTTTACGTATTTTTTTTATAGAAATTATTTAGTCAATTAATAAGTGTAAATAAGATGTTTTTCGTATGACCTTCAAACGCTTATGGGCTGTATCATTTTGGAATTTAGGGTGGGCGAAAGTTCAACATCTGTGATGATGCTTTCTTCGTCAAAACTCTAGAAACATGAAATGCATGGAACTTCAGCATCAGGAAAAATCTACTTTGTGAAAAATATTTTTAAAACACTCTCACTTATACACGTTTTATGTTTAAAATTTCTGAGTAGAACAGGGATGTTTTGAGATATAGACATAAATTAAATCATAACGATGAAAGCGTGCGGATGATAATCAATGGCTGAAATTATTTTTGTTCATCTTCATTGCAGCTTTGCTTTTCTTACTAGTTTCATGTGAAATTAAAACAATAACCGATAATTTATATCAAATATGAATGATTCTTTGCCTACCTTTTTTTTTCTTACCTCCCATAGAGTTCAAAATTGCAAAGCAAAAAGGAATATATTACATACTCTAATCAACATTGTTAATAAAAGTAAAGACGTTAAAAGACTCGCAACACCAAAACAAGGATCACAGTAATAACACAAGCTTGCAAATTTACATTTCATAGAAGTTGTTTTGTTTTTAATAACAAATTATTATTTACTTTACCACATTTTTTATTATTATATTTGTTAACAAAAATACAAACAAACCGAAGAAAAGAGAAAAAAAATTGATGTCAAACGAATATTCATCCTCATTCATCCTGACATTTTTTTGTGAAATCTATGTCTTTTAGTCTCAAAACTGTGTGTTATGGTCTTTCTTTTATCTATTGTGTTATGACGTTTCGTGAAAAATCTGTACGTGATGGAGAAAAATGGAATATCATTTTTCGGATTCAACGTACATGAATTACTGTAGAACATGTACAAATGTCAAGACAATAAAATCATCGTAGGCCTGTGTTATAGTAGTTAATATAACTTACATTAACGTCCGTTCAAAGCAAGCTACCTACACAGGCTCAGAACTAAAAACCAATCCAGAAATGAATGTAGCTAATTTAAAGCACTATTCTTACGTTAGAATGCATTATTTCACAATTTCGGTTAACACAAGTGTTGATAGCGGTACTTTCGGCCTTAATCCCAGTAATACTTCACGAGGTTCAGCCAGCGTAAGAGCTGTAGGTCAGTTCTAGCTCTATTTGATAAGCTAACAATCTAAAATATTATCTATAAAGAAAATATATTATAATAAAAAATGAAAATAAATATATTAAATATTTTAACCAATATTATTAATGAAAGGAACATTAAAAGACTCACAGCAGTAAGGCAAGAGTCACAGAGCTTTTAGAAACGTCTTTTGGTGGACATCATATCTCGACGAACAGGATTTTACTATGAATTAGCATCTTGATGAGTTTTATCTTGGAACAGGAAAATTTTGACTTATTTTTATTTTATATCACTTTAAAATTCATCAACTCAATGTTATATCACCTTAAAACTACTTAACAACACAATGTTACATTACTTTATAACTCATTAACAACCCAATGTTTTATCACTTTAAAACTTATTAACAACACAATGTTTTATCACTTTAAAACTCATAAACAACCTGGGCCCCCCAGTGGCACAGCGGTATGTCCGCGGGCTTACAACGCTATAAACCGGGTTTCGATACCCGTGGTGGGCAGAGCCCAGATAGCCCTTTGTGTAGCTTTGTGCTTAACTACAAACAACAACAACATAAACAACATAATGTTAATGAGGTACACACCTCAACTGTGTATGCTTCAGAAAAGTATCAGTAGTTCTGTTTATTTATTTGTTGTTAAGCAAATCTACACAATCTGTACTGTATCTATTGCGAGTATCGAAACCCGATTTTTGGCGGTGTGATCCATCAGACTTACCGCTGAGCCAATGGGGGCGGGGGTAGTTTGATTCCTTGAAATCTCATAATGAAATGAATATCTTCATTATGTTCCTTGAAAAGAGATGGTTGTCTTGAGGGCATGATCAAAATGTTTTTAAATATAACAGTTTACCTTGAATATTGTTATGATCACACTCAAGGCACTGACGTGTTATGATTACGCGCAAGACACTGACGTGTTATGATCATATTCAAGACACTGACGTGTTATGATCACACTTAAGACATTGACGTTTTATGATCACATTCAAGACACTGACGTGTTATGATCACACTCAAGACACTGACGTTTTATGATCACACTCAAGACACTGACGTGTTATGATCACACTCAAGACACTGATGTGTTATGATCACACTCAAGACACTGACGTGTTATGATCACATTCAAGACACTGACGTGTTATGATCACATTCAAGACACTGACGTGTTATGATCACATTCAAGACACTGATGTGTTCCTCCTTCATTATGACTGAACTTAATGTATTTCTAGTTCAAGCGGATCATTCTAAAACAGCATTGAATTTCATTTAACTAA